TTGAAGTGGTGGAGAGACAATGCACAGTTTTACCCACTGCTGTCACCCATGGCCAAAGCATATCTCTCTGTCCCAGCAACATCAGTACCAAGCAAGAGAGTTTTTTCCACAGCAGGGGATATTGTAAACGCCCAAACATCCCAGCTTCTACCTGGAAATGTGGACATGCTCATATTCCTAAAAGATAACCTTGATGATGCTGAGTGAGTGAGTTAGAGTTGAGTTACTTGAAAAACTAAAGTGAAACTTGATTTATTCTATTGCAGGGTCTGATTATTATATTGTTGACACTTTAAAATACTACCATCCTATTAAAATGCTGTACAAATCAGATGTATTATTTAATAAATACAAAAATAAAAAAAACATTTTTTTCCTTTATTTTTCAATATCGCGATAAATATCGTACCGTGGACTTTTGGTATCGTTACATCCCTAACTTTTACTGTGTACTTTTTGAGTAATACTCAAACTCCCCTCCTGAGTACAATCATTCATGTATTCTGCTATATTTGTTGAGGGATACAAATATTTGTTACCATAAGTTCTACATGGAATTGATACTGTTGGACTCAGTACTACTTGGACTACTACCACAAGTACAATCAAGTATTTTTACTCTGTGCTTTTTGAGTAATACTTGGTTAAACTCCTGTCCAGAGTACAATAATTCATAGTTCATATACAATACAGGAATGATTGTACTGAGGACGGGAGTTTGACCGAGTATTAATAAAAAAGTACACAGTAAAAGTAGTTGATTGTACTTGTGATAGTAGTCCAAGTAGTACTTAGTAGGCTACTGACTGAGTCCAAGAGTATCAATTTCATGTGGAACTTTTTGCAAAAAATAATTGTATCCCTATCAAATATAACAGAATACATGAATTATTGTACTCAGGATGGGAGTTTGACAGAGTATTACTCAAAAAGTACAGTAAAAGTACCTCATTGTATTTGTGGTAGTAGTCTAACAAGTAGGCTACTAAGTCCAACAGTACCAATTTTATTAAGAACTTATGGCTAAAAATCATAGCAGTCAAACTAGGACTGAGTCAAACAGTGTCCGTTTTATTAAGAACTTATGGTACAAATTATTTGTATCGCAAATAAAGCAGAAAAAACATGCATTATTTTACTCGTACAGTGCCGCTTCTCGGTGATTACCGTAACGGCCCAATAAATTGCGCACTCAAAAATGAAGAGCTGCTGATTTGACCAAGCAAACGCGAGAGACGGCTGAGTTGACCGCAGAACCGAAACGGACGACAGTATCTTATATCTTCTGAAAACAAATGCCAGAGTCACACACACACAAACACACACACCCTGGTGACCAGACATCTCCTTCATAAATAGAATAATAAGGCGTAACAATCGGGCAGTTCGATGTGTGTAGAGGTGTGTGTGTGTGTGTGTGTGTGTGTGTGTGTGTGTTGTGTGTGTGTGTGTGTGTGTGTGTGTGTGTGTGTGTGTGTGTGTGTGTGTGTGTGTGTGTGTGTGTGTGTGTGTGTGTGTAGAGGTGTGTGTGGCTATAACAAAGCAGCCTGCAGTCGCTCTTTAGCTGTCTAATGAAGGTAAACACAGCGAAGGCTGTGTGTAAAAGGCACAGCTCCGCTTCCTACTTGGCGAACCTGTAACTTTCTCGTGTACACGAGAACGTATCTCTTGTGCAAGAGAAATCGTGATGAGCAAAACCATGTCACTTGGCTCAGGTGGTTTCCACAGAACGGACAAAACATGTTTAACGACCATAAAGGTCCATAGGTACCGGCGGTCTATCGCCAAAACAAACTTAAGTTTGTGTCAATCACTTGCACGTCACGTCTGGTATGATGGGCATTCCCTTTCCGGTTTGATTCTCTAGTTCAGGGCTGGTTCAGGGGTACTCAAATACAAATCTTAAAAGGTCCAAACATTTTTTTTCAATAAGACAAAGGTCCGTTTATTACGGTCATTCAAACTTTTAAACAATTGCAACAAGATTCTTAACACGAGGTTGCAAAAATAATCTGTATGCAGCCGTTTTCATTGTTATTGTGTCTGTGCTTGACCCCTCAGAGTCGCAGTGTAAGAGCTGCACAGTTATGAATAAAAGAAGCTGCACCCTCTTTCATTCAGCATTCCCATTATTGCTTTATAAATGTCTTGCCCCCTTGTGTGTCCACTGAGGTTCGTCAGGCCCAACACATCTTCAACAAACTCCCCCTTTGCCTCATCATAAAAACTCACAAACACCAGCAACTGAGCATTGTCAGTGGTGTCAGTGGACTCACCCACAGCTAAGGAAATGCACTGTGCATTTTGTATTCCATCACAAAGCTGATTAATCAAATCACCAGCCAGTATTTATGTTCTTCTGGTTGCTGTGGAATCTGAGAGGGGGATTTGCTTGATTTGACCTGTTATTTCCTCTTTTTGTTTGCCTTCAAACATGGTCTCCATCACTTCAGTCATGCATTCTTGTATACTTCATTATCCAGTTAAATCAAAGTGGTTACTTTTTGGCTGGGCAGTGTAGTTTTACACACCGTCTTTTTTTACTTTCTCAGGACTGAAAACTGTTTTTTGGGGGCAGACCTCCACAAAGAAGAACATATATTTACACACGTAAGGTCATCATCTTAACAGTTTTGTTTGCTCATCCGTGAGCAGAGCATCAAGTTGACATGTCTATTACAGCTGAATGCGGCGATTACCATTTTGTTCAGCAAAACGCCTCACAAAATGAATAAGATCCAAAGCTTTAGTGCGTTTTGATTCAATGCTGAGTACAGTCACACTTGACAGTCTCTTCTCTGTCATTGTAGACCGAAAATACCTAATTTCTTCAGTACTTGGGTCCGAATGTTTCTCGTTTTGCGCCGTCCCGTTCAAATGAAAAAAATCGCCGCCAATCATATGTCCACGCTCGCGCCAGGACCGGGGAAGGGGTTACAAGACGTGCGTATTGTGCTGCATTCACTTGCACTCTGACATTAGAGACTTTCTCTCATAAATGTCCGATGAGCCACAACTTTTCTTTCAAAACAAAGCTGCCAACTGGGGTGGCAAGGCCTATTTTTAGGGTGTCAGTTGCCACCCCATGCCACCCCGGTAGGTGAAACTAGGCTACTAGCTACAGTACGATGCAACTAGATGAGCTGTTAACTCTCGCTCTGACTCAGACAGGTTGAAAGAGACGACACACGTATTTTTCCCACCCGCATTCCACGAAAACCCGCCCTACTGTGCCTTGATTCGCAGATTGTTGGTGGGGGGGAAAACGCTGACGGGATGCTGAATGTGATTGGACCAATGCGTTGATAGACACACACACACAGACAGTGGAACAGTCGGACATGCAGAGTGCTGTTTGCAGTGGACATAGCGGAGAATTTTGACTCGTTGCGTTGAGGCGATGTCTCGCAGATAATACAGTTTTGCATCTAGTTAATTTGTTCATGTTAAATAGTTTTTTCTTTGGTAAAAGTGTTTTGCTAATGTACATTTGTTTTATTAAATTTAAATTTGTCTCAAGCTTTGTTAAAGTGTTTCACACTTTGTAATTGTCGATTGCACCTCTCAGCCACCATACTCTTCTCCTTTTTGCTTGTTTTCGAAGCCATTTAACGGAAAGAAAGAAAAATAAACCAAAATCCCCGAGTTGTATATAGGGAAGAGGTTTAAATGTTAGTTGTATCTTAAAAGTGGGAGCTAGAAACACGCGTCTACTCCATTCCTCGTCTCCGTAAGTCCCTCTGATACATTTTCTAAGACTAAATATAGTTTTATATCATGTGCTTAAGGACAGGCTTAAAAAAAAGATTCAAGAAAAGGGAAAAAAAAAACGACATTTTTAATTTCCTTGAAAAATGAAGTAACTTGGGAAAAATGATTTTGCCAGGATACGGTTCAGCTTTCAATACCATTGTGCCCTCCAAGCTGGCCATCAAGCTCAGAGACCTCGGGCTCAACAGCGCCTTCTGTGATTGGACCTTGAACTTCCTGACGGGCAGATCCCAGGCAGTGCGGGTGGGAAACATCACATCCTCCACCCTGATCTTCAACACCGGGGCCCCTCAAGGATGTGTGCTCAGCCCTCATTTTTTCTTTAAAAACAGGTAAAACAAATATTTCGGCAGTTGATATATTTTATACAAAAAAAATCAATTTATATTTGTAATGCTTGTATAACTTGTTTTCTAAATGTATGTACTATTTCACATCAAAGCAAATCCCTTTTATGTGAAATCTCTCTTTAAGGACAGGCGTAAAAGAAATACTTCAGAACAGGTACCAAAATGGTCCTGGATGATGTCTCTAATTTCTTTAAAAATATTTAATCTGTGAAACAGTTAAATGTATGTTGTTCATATGATCATGACAAGTCTTCCCAAAACTGGTTAAAATCAGTTTCTAGAGGTTTAGAGTCCTGATTTAGTTCCTTATTCTTCTTGGCCAAATAGGCCTTATATTATTATGTATTTATTTATAATTTGAATGTGTGATGTTGAATTATTTGACTCATCTCTCAAGCAGCTGCTAATGTTAATTTGATATGATTAGTGAATCGTCCCTCTGTTACTAGGTGTTCCTGATAACAACTCTGTAATTTAATTTAAATTTGCAGAAGAACTAAGGGAAATGGATGTTTGAATTGCAGTTTGAATTCTGCACCAATTTTTTAAGAAAAGGCACCAAAAAAAAGGATAATAATTTTCTTTCCTCCAAATTTGAGGGTTACATATATTAGCTGTAGGTGATTGATTTAGCCCAGAGAAACATACATTTAACATTTGACCCAGGGAATACAAAAAGGGTTGTGGTCAGATTTTCGATGTTTTAAAATTGATTCTCTTATCACTTCACTTACTTCATTTATTTTTACTAAACTGTCGAATTTCTAAATAAATAAAAAGGAGCTAGCCTTGGTCTACCAATTTGTTTCATGTAAAAGGAAGCATTTGTGTTTGGTATAGCTTGAACTTCCTCAAGTCACTGAGAATGAATAAGAACAATGGGTTAAAAGTGTTTATTTGTGAATAAATGTAACCATGTGTCTTTAGTTTCCCTTTGTGTGTTAACAAGCAGTTTATATATCTATTCAAAATATAAATACTTCATAATCTTATACACACTTGACTCTGCTTACATTCCATAGCTCTGCGCATCTCCTTTAGCGCACAGTAGACTGGAGAAGATTCTGAAATGAGCTCCTTTATGTACGCTTGATTTGGAAGCTTTGTGACTATATAAAGCCAATGGAAGGTTTTGTAAATCTGTTGGATTAAGAGGACACTGGCCTGATAACATTTGCCTCATTGACCCGGAGCCTTCTCCACTTGATGTGTCTGTGAGTAAATTACAACACAAGCCCAAAAAGCTTCTGGAAAGATTTAATCTCACTTTACTTTCACTGTTCTAACAAACAGTCAGGATGATGTCAGATGCAGAAACTGCTACTAATAACTGATCGAGCATTGAGGCAATAATATCCATGACGAGACATCATGATTATCTGAGGACACGAGGGCCTTCACCGCTTTAGACTCAAAATAGTTTGACGCTGTGCTCGAAACGGACCCAAACAGAAGGACGTTAATGTGCATGCAGCTCCTTCAAATGTGAAGTGAAACAAACCAAAGACTAAAGATGGCGTCAACCTGTTCTAACACACACACAAACACACACCAGAGCAACAAGCAGGCAGAAGTGTTGGGGTCACTGAGCGAGCTGAAGTCTGGATTTACTGCGACTTTTCTTCATGAAACACAATCCGCTTTTTGTCTGAAGCTGCAGCGGCAAATAAAACGGACTCAAATAATACTGCGAATTTCTGACATTTCACACACTGTGTCTCTGAATTTCTTTACATTTTATACATTTGTGGGGTGGCAAGGGGGATACATGTAAAAGACAGAACATTTACCCAAACACATGGGTAAAAGGTACAATAAAAAAATAAATTATCACCTCGATAAACCAAAAATAAAATATTCATATTTGCTCTCTCTTATTCCAGCTCCCGGTGCTGTCCAGCAGGGGGCGGCGCTGCGTCACAGCCGGCCTCTGGAACGCGATGACAGAAGCATAAATGGACAAATGTGATTGGCTAACACCGTCTTATCAGGACCAATCAGATAAGAGGATGGTGATATCTTTAAATGAACTATACCCAATTCTGATGACAATTACTTAAAGATTACTGTTTTTTTTTTGTTTTTGTGGCTGACACTTTTACTGAAGCCTTGAGAAGCAGTGAGTAAAATGATGACTCTAAATAGTTTAACTTCAGGCTTAAAATAAATACTTAAAAACAGATATAAAAAAAAAGGTTTGTCCAGGATAATTTTTCTTTACATCAACTTGGGGACAAAGTTTTCACTTGCCTCTCAGGGCTTCCGTACACTGGGCAACATTATGATTCAAAAACTTAAAACTCCTCATGATGATTCAAACACATCATGTTAACACAATAATGTGGTACAAATAAAAAAATCTGGGAAAAGAAGATGGAGGTTTTGTTCTTTATGGAAAACAATTCAATTCAATGGATTGAATTATTTCGTATGGTTTTGCGCAGCTGTTCAATATTGTGATTTTATCACATATATACATATATATATATATATGTATATAATATAAGAAAAATATTAATTTTTAATAAATATTTTTGTTATTCAACCATATCACACAGGCCTAACTTAAAGAATAAGGCTGGTGTTATTCTATATTTTTCTTATTGTCAATATATCCCATTCAAAGACCCAAACCAACAATGTGTTAGTCCATCTCTTAAAACTTGGTGAATATTTATCTGTAGCGCTAGAGCTTATAAAGGACATTTAAACAAACAATCCACACAACAGAGCCTTAAAACTATTAATGGGACATTTTGGGAATATTTTTGGCCATATGCTGTTATGTCAAGAAAGGGACACTTGAGCCCGAGGGGCCGATGATAAAACACAACGTCCCCATAGTCTCTCTTGCTTTGGCAATCAAACCAAAACACCACCAAAAATAATTTGATACAAAAAAGGAGATTAAATCTCACATTTGAAAGACTCAGTCATTTCCTAAATCAGCTGGTCATTGTAGTTGTTAGCAAACCTTACTCAAACATGAGGACAGTGCATTTCTTGGGCACTATTTTCCGCAGCAGATTTACCCACAATTGGTGCTCTAATGAGTATTTAATGAAGGACGAATAGTGTGGCTTATTGGTGTGTTTTTAATCATTTTTGGACAAAAGTGGAGCTCCATGGATGAGAGGAAGAAGATACATCAGGATTTTGATACACACAATTGGTGTAAGTGGATCATTTAATTGTTGGTTTGAGTCTTTCTTTTAAATGGGATTTGTTGAGAATAAGAAAAATATCAGCAGACCAGATTTAGGGAAGTGACACTTATGCTTTCAGTATTACACAATAAACCCAGAGGATGATTTACGGACACCGACTACTAACGTTTTTGACGTAAGCCCCAAAAACGGACACACAGCGGTTTTTTTTAAAGAAATGATCTATACCCTTTCCTTAAGCCTACTTCTATGTTTATACTTTATCCCCGTTCTCCCTGTGGGGCAATGCTGCCCTCTGCACTGCTGAAACAAACAAAAACATTGCAGTCTATCACATCCATCTATTGCTTTAACAGATGCTTGGAGTGCGTTTTCAGGGTAACGCTGAAAGAGTCTGTTCATCTGTCCGGGTTTGGTTTCTGTCGAGAAAGAGGAGCGGAGAAGAGTGGAGGGGTGAGAAGAGGGGAGGAGTCAGGGGAGTGAGGGGGAGGAGCAAGGGGGGGGACATAAAGTGAGTGTTCAGTGGGCGGCCCCTGGGATGCAGCTGATTGGTCGTGCAGAGGACGCTCTGTCCACAGACAACTTTTCCCAGGATGTCTGTATGTGTATGTGTGTGTGTGTGTATGTGTGTGTGTGTGTGTATATAGAGTGCGGTTGTTTGTATATCTTAATCAGGACCAATTGAAATGTTCAACCTTGGGAATAAGGATGTTTTTTGGATGGTCCTCTCATCCTTCAAAGTGTGAAGTGGTATTATGAAACCCCCTTGACTTGTGTGTGTGTTTCAGTGTTTTTATTTCACTCGATGTTTCATCCTCACTGTGCAGCAGAATAACCTACGTGAGTTTGACACAGGAAGCATGTTTTTCACTTTCATCTGCTTTGTTCCTTTCTGTAGTTTAAAGACCCCCTACAACAGATCTTAAGACATAGAAGTGATCCGCTTTGAAGAGTAATTTCTGTGTGTTTTTTCTACAAAAAAGGCCTCATTAAAATTCAGTGACCTACATCTACTACTTGCCCCTTTTATTGAATCAGGACTGGCTCCGAACCAGTTGAGAAACTCACATGTACACATTTTAAAACTCAGATTTAAGGAAAGCACAGAGCAACCTTCCTTCTGTTGCAGATATATGTTAAAATATCCCTCTGGTGTCAAACACATATATAATCCTCACAGTGAAGCAAGAACTTCACGGTGAAGAAGAGAAACACATTTGCGAGTGCAAGGGGACTCTAACAAGTCTCAGCTGTGGTGCTATAAATCAATGCAGATTGTTTTGGTTTTGGAGCGTGAGAGATGTCTGCCTACTCTCCAGTGGAATGAAACTAGATGGCATTAAAAGTGCCAAACATATATTTGAAAACTCATGATACTCAAGATAATCCAAAGACCATGTTGATAGCAGTTTAATGTAGGAACTAATTTGTTTTTACCAAACTACATCGGCCAACTGTATCATCGCACACACGCCTCTCATCGTATAGTTGAGGCATGTATCTAATAAAGGATGAGGGTTGGCAGGAGTACTTTGGTAGAAAGAAAAAGTACCTAGATGAAACAATATGATTAGTGAAAAGAGACATTGCAGATCTCGGCACTTTTAGCACCACAGGCCATGTAGTTCCATTACATTGGAGATAAGGCAGACATCTTCCCAACGATATCTCCATAACTCGGCTACTTAAACCAAAACAATCAAGATTGAAAAAAAGCAGTGTGGCTGAGAAGGAAAAATTGGTAGATTTTCGGGTGAACTGTAGGTTATGTAAAACTAAATGCATTATGCCAATGTAGGTCCTCACAAGTGTAGAAGTACAAAGGTGTGTGTTTTGCAAAGGTTTCTTCATATGAGCTTTAGGTTGCAGCCATTTTGGCTCCACTGTCCCGCCTCCTGGCTGTTGCTATAGTAACTACTCAACTGTAGAATGCCGCGTTGCCATGGTGACACCCTCAAGAACCTCAGTCCATATTTACAGCGAAACCAATTCAGTTCTCTAGAAAACACGACCGCACGACCTGAACTAACTCACAACAAATGTGTGTGTGTGTGTGTATGTGTGTGTGTGTATGTGTGTTGGGAGCTACGGCAGGTTGTCGTCCTGCAGGCTCTCCAGGATCTTGACCAGGCTCTCCAGTCCGAACACGTAGCCCCGGTCCGTCCCGTCGTGCACCGCCGTGTCGCCGCGGAAACCCTTAAAGGTGGAGTGGGCGAAGTCGATCATACGAACGTCCACCAGGGGGGGTGGCTGCCGGGGGGCTGGTGGAGGAGGAGGTGGAGGGCAGGAGCTTAAGTTGGGAGCTTGGGAGGAAGATTTTTGTATGGGGTGAGGCGAAGGGAGAGGGGGAAGGAAAGAGTGGCAGTCTGACTTGGAGGGTGGGGCCTGTGGGGGGGGACGAGGGGAGGGGGAGGCCATCAGTCCAGGTCCCTGAGCGGAAGCAGGCCCCTGAGAGGATTGAGGCCCCGGGTCTGGGTTCTTGCTCATGACCGTTTCACAGGGAGCGCCTGGGGCTGCGTGGGGGCCGGGGGCACAGTGGGGCTCTGCGGGGGCCGCGGGAGTCTTCTGGTGGGACGCTGCATGCTCAGGTTCCTACAGACAGAATCAGGAAGAATCAGCAGGATGAAAACATGTGGGGTTTCCCTTTCCTGAAGTGTTCTATAGGTTTGTGTGCATGTAAATGGTCTGCAAAGGCTAGAATCCCTGTGTTCCCTCCAGAGGGAGATTTCTCCCACACACTCCCCCCTCTGCCTGAAATGCCTCCAATGGAGGATTTACTTCCTTAACAGGGTGAAAAGAGGTGCTGCGGCACAGGCCGTATGAGAAGAATAAAGAGCTTTCTGAACATTAAAGCATGGAGACATGTCACAGTAGAGACACTACATACAAATATGAACCTGAAAATGAGCATGAAATATCGTCTCTAAAACTTGAGCTCACCTTTCCCTCATAGATGATGAGCAGTGAAGAGGAGTAGAAGCGGTAGGACGCCTGCCTCTCCAGCACCTCCTTTAGGCTGCGCAGCTTTTTCAGGATCGGCTCAAAGAGGTCCTGCCTCAGACCCTTCCCGTTGTGCATGTACTGGAAGAGCGCCTCGCGGAAGCCTTCGATTGACAGGCCGCGGCCGTAGTACTTGTTCCTGCAGAGGTAGTGACCGGTGCTCAGCTGGTACACCTGCAGGGACAGAGTGGGAACAGTCAAACACCTGCTGCTGACGGCATCGGTACAAATGTTCATATTTAAGATTAGACATTTGATGCCTTCAGTTGTTCAATCAGGGTTCGAAGGGGTTACTTTAAAAATGTATTCTATTACAAATACTAGTTACCTGTAACATATTTTGTATCAGTAACCTATTCAGGCAGTAGTCTATACACCAACAATGAAACACATGAGCACATACTACAGTTTAAAAAAGCAGAAAGTCTGAGCTGACAGAAAATTCTCTAGTTTAATACGTACAATGAAGCTCACACAAACTCATGTATAGGTTTTTCACTAAGCAGATTCAGGCAGTAGGCGTATAGACACTTAAAGTGTTAACCTACAGAACAGTACAGCTTATAGAAATCTGATATCTTTCTTTTATGTTATGGAATACTTGTATCCTGATTAGGTTATCCTGTTACATGTGAACCCTTACTCTCCAAGCACCGTTTTTAATGCATGTCATTTTGCAGTCGGTGTTCCAAAACTTTCCATGATATCAAAGTCACAGACTTTAAGAGTTCATTTCAGGCACAACCTCACACAGCAGAGTTGCATGTCAGGTATGTATGTAACAACAATGTTTTTATTTGGACAAGCGTCCATCAGGCAGGCGGGGCGTTACAAATGTTGCAACTTCAACTAAAGTTAGCCTATTTACTCGTTTTTTTTGTTATAAAGAATAATTTATATTTGTTTTCTTGCAGAAAATATATACATTCAACATTCAATGACCCATGTCTGTGTATGTACATTTAAGTATTTTCAAAGACAAATGTACAAACCTAAGGACTTCAAATTGACATGTGCCCTAGAGAGGAAGGAGCCTGTATTACTTCGCCCTTCACCCTCAGCTGATCATTGTAAAGGCGTTGCTGTACCTGCATGCCACACACTCTGACTCCCAGCGTGGCTGAAGTGCTCTGTTCACATTTCTTCATCTGCCGGGCCGCCTTCTCCTCGGAGGCGTCGTCTCCGTGCTGCCTGGTGCCCATCTTCAGGTCCAGGATGCAGGGGTAGGAGAAGTGATGAACCACGTTCTCCAACAGCAGAAACTCTGGTTCAAACGATGCGGTCAAGGAGCAAACTTTTCTTTCTAAAACAAGTCATTCCTGATCTTCTCCACCATCTTGTTATATGGGCGTGGAGAAGATCACACAACAGATTATTATGTTTTGCATTTCATTCAGAAAAAAACCCAAAATAAAATATGGTAACAATTCTAGAAGCACAAAGAAAAGTGTACAAAGGTCCAATAATGAATTATAATTCCATTCTTTGACCATTTTTTCTTCCACATTAACCTCTGCAGCAAATGTTGAGTTTGATCTTAGCAACTATTTAAAATGGTAAATTAAAGAGACTGAAACGTGTTTGTGGGAACTAATGTAAGTTGAAATGATTTAGTCAAATCAAAACGTTAGAAGAAGAAGAAGAAGTGGATGAATATGATTAGGCACAGGACAGACGAAGTGAAAAGCTGACCCGTCCACAGCAGGCTGTTGGAGCTGCTCTGCCTGGACACAGATGGACCCCGCTGAGGACAGTGTGTGTGTTGATGTGCTTTCCAAACAGCTGCTCTCTTTGAAGCTCAAGATCAAAACATGACCTTTGGCCTGATAACCTCACCTCCTCCTTAGTCTCACTGACATTTACATTCATTGCCTCTCATTGCATTGGTACACTCCACCTGGGCTGCAACTGACCACTATTTTTATCGTCTAATAATCCGTCGGTTATTTACTGAATGAATAAATAAGTTATTAGTATGAAACACTTTCAATGTTTCCCAAGCCCAATTGACTACTTCAAATGTTTTGCAGCTCTAAACTTCAACTCCAAGAACTGGGCAGTGATATGTGGATTTCTCCTGGATGATATTTTTCAGCCAACTAGATTCACATGAGTTACTCAGTGCTTGTATTAACCTACAGTATGGTATTAACATATTTATATAATTTCTACAGCCACATTCCCTCAGGTGCTGTGACACGGCAGGCCTTCACGCATATTTTTGCATTATTTATCATCATTTACAAGGTCAAGTTTATTTTTGATGTTGGAAAAGGTAGTCTGACGAAAACAAATCTAAGGTATCATTTATTTTCCAGAGCTACAGGTTTTAAATAAGAACAAACTCCTTACATTAAATAAGGTGATTCATTGGATTAAATGACTAATTTCAGGTTCATTGAATTGACTCTCTAAAATGATTATAACGTATAAACTTGAAGTTTTGATAGCCGTGGGAAAGCTAGTAACTACTGTACCCCTTGATTGAAATGCAAAGCACACAGTGAGAATGGGAGGATGTGGTTGGTTGAGAAAGGATACTAAAGAGTTTGCGGTCCTTGGACTCGGACCTCATGCGGCTGAGCTGCTGCTTGTGGCAGCGCAGGCTCCAGGGGTTGTGGCTGATCTTCTCTGAACTCAAACCGCTGTTCCAGTCCAACATCTGGAAGGGAACGTCCGAGTAGAGCTTCGGGTCGAGTCGCGGACTCTTCAGCTCTGCAAGACTGCAGAGGAGGAGAGAGGATTATTATTTGATTGGTCATTTCTAAAAGTCCAAACAACATGTCTAAATGAAAGTCTAGATATTCAAATACAGTCTATTGTGTGATTACAGCACATGTTCACCTACATTTTGCACTACCAACAGCAATTTGTCTCAGTTTGCGCACACTCACGTCTTTTCATCTAGTTGAGTCTAAAATTCATTTTGTTACATTTGCTGAAATTCTCCTTACATGCCTACAAACATGTATTAATCAAATGCCCTGACCAAAAATGCCATACCAGCAGCTTTGAGAGGCAGCACTTTCCTGAGCTAAACGCGAACGTCTGCTTTATAAAATGCTGATTTTTAGCAGGTACAATGTTTAACATGCTTACTATCTCATTTTCAAGTGTTAGCATGCTAACATTTGTCCTCGACAGCACTACATCAGCACTGAAAACAAAGTACAGCAGATGAGGAAGTCATTAGTCTGTAGAAAATGTAGAGTATATGGTCACAAAACAAAGTATTAGACAAATTCAAATGTTGACCTGAAGAAGGAGGAAAAGTTTGAAGATCGCCATTTCATTATAATTCATCCTTAAGTGCACTGGCAAACATTTGTAAAGACCCTACGCGTGTTTGGCTATGTACGCCATAGAAATAAAACACATTCCCTCAAATGTTCATATTAAAGCTGCGTTCTGGCTGCCTCTCGTTGAAAGAGTGAGCTTGGCATTATGGACTGGATCAAGACTCCAGTAGAGTCCTGAACGACTGCATTTCCTATTAAGCTTCGTGGCCACAGATGCAATGTTATTTCTTTTAAATCGTTCTAAATTCTATTATTTGTTCGAGGGGTCAATACATGTCTTTGACATGTCAGAAAATGGCGCCTGTCACAATTTCTCTGAGCCAAATGTGACGTCTTTCAGCCAACAGACCAAACTCCAGAGATATGTAATTCACTATCATATAAAACAGAACAAATAATACAATCCTCAAGCTCGAACAAAGGTTGTGGAACGAATTTGACATTTAAATAATAAATAAGTATAAATTAACCAGTTGAAAATGTTTCCAACTCTAAAACAATTTCTTCCAGTAATATGATCTTACTTATCAGAGGCCTCTGGGTCATGTGACTCCCTCCTGTCGGGCCGATCCTCCTTGTGTTCAGAGGAAGAGCGGTGGAGGCTGCGCCGAGAGTGTTTCCTCCGCGGCTGCTCCCTCTCGGGGGGGTCACGCTCTTCGTGCTCGCCGGGCCCTCCCTCCATGTTGCTCTCCACGTACGGGTAAGCCACCAGGTTGATGTAGCCGTCAGAGTCGCCCTCGAAACAAACCAGCACCACACCTGACAGGAGGGAGAAAATAAAGACAGGAAGGTCAGATACGATCTGATGATACTTCATGGCAGTTCCAAAAAAATGTAAGACGAGAAACAATGGAAAATACATTTTACAATAACACATATACTGTCAAACACATGGCTAGGGTCAGAGACATTATCGTTGGCAAACCTCAGTCTGTCATTTTGGTAGGCTGTTCAAAGAGTTTCTCAAACAATCTTTTCATTAGGTGCAGCAGTTTTGACTTTAAACTGGTGGACAAATACTCTTACCATGTAGTCTTGAAATACTGTAGTACACTCAGAATTACAGATGTGAAAAACGAAAGAAAAAATTGTCTATACAAATCAAGAATTGCCAAATTAAATTGAATTGCAAGGCAGACACAAAGAGATGAATGTATAATAATACCTGAATATTTAATCAATGAAGGCTTGTGTTGCAGGAACACCATACTAACACAGTCAATGTTGGGTTTTGTCACGCTTCTGTGTATCAAGATGTAGTCAATGTTCTGTAAATCCAATTGAGGAGCAGTTTATAGATGAAAAACCTAGATAGATTTGTTATGTAAACATTAAGCTGTTATTTTTAGAGCAGAGTAGAGCATCTCATCTCCACTAAGTGACATTTTACACTCAGTTAGCTCCATAGTGGGAAATCAACTCCAAAGACCTGGTCCAAACTAAAGCGTGTGCTCTGAAAACACCAAACATGACTTGACCTCCACGACGACGACACAAGGAGACATTTGATCTGATAATGCCAAACAATTTGTGGATAAAACAACCTTGACAGACTCAGAGTCATCCCTTGGCAGCTGTCTCTCTCCCTGTCTCTCTGTCTGTCTGTCTGTCTGTCTCTCTCCCTGTCTGTCTCCCTGTCTGTCTCCCTGTCTGTCTGTCTGTCTGTCTGCCTGTCTGTCTGTCTGTCTCTCTCCCTGTCTGTCTGTCTGTCTGTCTCTCTCCCTGTCTCTCTCCCTGTCTCTCTCCCTGTCTGTCTGTCTGTCTGTCTGTCTGTCTGTCTGTCTGTCTGTCTGTCTGTCTGTCTGTCTCTCTCCCTCTCTCTCTGTCTGTCTGTCTGTCTCTCTCCCTGTCTCTCTCCCTGTCTCTCTCCCTGTCTGTCTGTCTGTCTGTCTGTCTGTCTCTCTCCCTCTCTCTCTGTCTGTCTGTCTGTCTCTCTCCCTGTCTGTCTGTCTGTCTGTCTGTCTCTCTCCCTGTCTGTCTGTCTCTCTCCCTCTCTCTCTGTCTGTCTGTCTGTCTCTCTCCCTGTCTGTCTGTCTCTCTCCCTCTCTCTCTGTCTGTCTGTCTGTCTCTCTCCCTGTCTCTCTCCCTGTCTGTCTGTCTGTCTGTCTGTCTCTCTCCCTCTCTCTCTGTCTGTCTGTCTGTCTCTCTCCCTCTCTCTCTGTCTGTCTGTCTGTCTCTCTCCCTGTCTGTCTGTCTCTGTCTGCCTGTCTCTCTCCCTGTCTGTCTCTCCCTCTCTCTCTGCCTGTCTGTCTCCCTGTCTCTCTCCCTGTCTCTCTGTCTGTCTCTCTGTCTGTCTCTCTCCCTGTCTGTCTGTCTCTGTCTGCCTGTCTCTCTCCCTGTCTGTCTCCCTGTCTCTCTCCCTGTCTGTCTGTCTCTCTCCCTGTCTCTCTCCCTGTCTCTCTCCCTGTCTGTCTGTTTCTGTCTGCCTGTCTCTCTCCCTGTCTGTCTCTCCCTCTCTCTCTGCCTGTCTCTCTCCCTGTCTGTCTCCCTGTCTCTCTCCCTGTCTGTCTGTCTCTCTCCCTGTCTCTCTCCCTGTCTCTCTCCCTGTCTCTCTCCCTGTCTGTCTGTTTCTGTCTGCCTGTCTCTCTCCCTGTCTGTCTCTCCCTCTCTCTCTCTCTCTCTGCCTGTCTGTCTGTCTCCCTGTCTCTCTCCCTGTCTGTCTGTCTCTCTCCCTGTCTCTCTGTCTGTCTCTCTCCCTGTCTGTCTGTCTCTGTCTGCCTGTCTCTCTCCCTGTCTGTCTCTCCCTCTGCCTGTCTGTCTGCCTGCCTGTCTGTCTGTCTGTCTGTCTCTCTCCCTGTCTCTCTCCCTGTCTGTCTGTCTCTCTCCCTGTCTCCCTCCCTCCCTGTCTGTCTCTCTCCCTGTCTCTCTCTCTCCCTGTCTCTCTCCCTGTCTGTCTCTCTCTCTATATATCTGTCTGTCTCTCTGTCTGCCTGTCTCTCTCCCTGTCTGTCTCTCCCTCTCTCTCTGCCTGTCTGTCTGTCTGTCTGTCTGTCTGTCTCTCTGTCTCCCTGTCTCTCTGTCTGTCTGTCTGTCTGTCTGTCTGTCTATGTCTGTCTCTATGTCTGTCTGTCTCTCCCTCTCTCTCTGCCTGTCTGTCTGTCTGTCTATGTCTGTCTGTCTCTCTGTCTGCCTGTCTCTCCCTCTCTCTCTGCCTGTCTGTCTGTCTGTCTGTCTGTCTGTCTATGTCTGTCTGTCTCTCTCCCTGTCTGTCTGTCTCTCTCCCTGTCTGTCTGTCTCCCTGTCTCTCTCCCTGTCTGTCTCTCTCTCTGCCTGTCTGTCTGTCTGTCTGTCTCTCTCTCTCTCTGCCTGCCTGTATGTATGTAGCCTTCATAAATAAATAATTATAATTTTGAAAACTGCCAGAAATAAATAAAATGAATTAAAATATATATACATACTGTAATCAGTCATATATATTTTTTGCATGATTTTTTTTCCATCCGCAACCATCTTGGGAACCCCTTAAGGGCCCTAACCCTTCAAATAAATAAACTACCACATTTTATATTAATAATATTGTTAGTCTATACAATGTCAAAGAATATTATTTTCTTTAATTAGTATGTTTTTAATGTCTAAAACAATGTGTCTAAATTACAATCTAGATATTAAATGTACAATTATGAACAAAAGTCGTTTAGTGTTTTTCGCATTACTGACTTGGCTTCAACTGTATAGTATCTGGTATTTTGAGAATGTGAGAAATGCCTTGATGTAAACCCATTTTCCAAGAATTTTTGAGTAGAAGATGTCGGATTATTGGACATACTCAAACGCCCCAGAATGCATTGTGTTTCTTGAGACTGCCAAATGGATTAAATAATGAACTGTTGGTTAACATAATGACGATTGATGGCAAGTGGCGTTAAGCAGCAACGAAGAAAAAAGCTGGAACTAAGAGAAATGATATTTAACCATAAAATCTTTAGGAATTATAATTTGCCTTAAAATAACTATAGAAGATTTTAAAATAGGTTGTTTTTGGAAGTAAGCAACCATTATGTTTAGTTTCCTGTGAAACTGCTATGTACTCAATGAATGTTCACAATGTTGAACAGCTCCTGTTTTGTTTTACATATCATAATAAAGACTGCATTCCATTCATAACTAAATGTTTGTTTGTTTGTTGATGCTATCTTGTGACCCGACACATTTCTTGTGAAATGTTTTCCTCTTTTACATTGCTTGCTTAAATGATAATAAGGTCACATGTTGTAGGAGAGGGGTGAGGTGTGTGTGTGTGTGTGTGTGTGTGTGTGTGTGTGTGTGTGTGTGTGTGTGTGTGTGTGTGTGTGTGTGCTGTCTGTCAGAGTGTGTTTGGGTCTGTTACTATAGCAAACGCGAGTGAGAGCAGCTACATGATGTGGCTGGTGATGGAGAGCAGAGCAGCCAGAACACTTCACTGCGAGTAAACATCCGTACTTCCGTCTCTCTCTGGTTCTGCACCAGACACTGAACCCAGAGCAGTAAAGGCAGTTTAGAGCAGTGTGTGAAATACGGGGTAGCAGGAGGGGCTGACCTGGAAGCCCATTTGATTTAAGTACAGCGGCCTCTGACCTGTTGCCCTTTGCTGTAAGTCATGCCCTTTATTTCCTAATTTCCTGTCTATCTTCAACTGTACTACTATTACTAAGGAAATAAGGCCCACAAATATTTGTTTGTAAAAAAAGGGACTTGGATTTCTCTGGAAGCAACATATCTTGGGGTGTTGCAAAACACCTCATAATAATCAACCATTAAATTAAAACATAAAAGCTTGCTGTCATGCAAACACTGAAAAAGAGATATCTTAAGAGTGACACAGGCACATCATATCAACTTACTTGGATATATATTTAACATATTCATAATCATTCTTATCTGTAAATATGTTGACATTTTGTAGATGTTGCTGTATATACTGTCTCTTATATGTTATTCTAATTACCCTTGTTTGAACTCCTCATTTTATCCTATCTTATTTTACCTTAATCTGATTTTGATACATTTCAATCAAATCATTTAGTCCAGCAGTAAGCAAGACGGTGTGCACATGTTTTTACTTTCACTCAAAGCATTTCTCATCCTTAAATGAATATGACAAATTGTTTTGTTTTACATTTTATATATATCTTTTGTATTCTTTTGTGTAGCTATTTGAACTGCTCATCATATAATAACAGGGCTGTTCAAATAGGATTTGTATAGGTCAGGATATACAACACAAATCCAGCTGGCAGCCATGGCTACAGTAATACTTCAAATCAGTGAGTTGTGACTGACCTTTATACTCCGGGGTGAACTCCTTCATGTCTGGAGGCAGAGACTCGTAGAAGCGCTGCTCTCTGCTGATCAGAGGCTTACACACCGTGTGGTCATCATAACGCATCATACTGGTGTGACCCCCCACCTGCACACACAAACGAAAAACAGACAGAGGATAGCAAAAATGACAGAAACTCTATGGTTGTCCATATAGTGCTCTGTCGTTTATGTGCAGCTGCTTCGGGTGCTGTTAGTAGAAAATATCTCAACTCTCAGAAAATCGCTGGGGACATCATGTAGACATGAACTGTATTCATACAAAATCTTCCCGTTGTTGCTTATGGTAAAAAACAATGTCAACAAAGAGAGGGTAACACCAATCGATAATAAAAAGTAAAGGGGCGATGCAGATCTGTCAAATCACGGCAGTTAGAGGTCATTATGTTGTTTTTTGGATGAAACACCAGAATAAGGCTCTCCAAGCACACCGTCAGCGCATTTCTTTGGAAAAAACCTGGACGTGAAGGTTTTCTTTCTCATAGAAAGAACCGTATCATCAGCATTGAGCTGGAACATAACGTCAGCTTTTCCGTCACCCACGTCATCGCCACCCACCTGGTGTATGAAGGGCTCCAGTGGGACGCCTCCTGGCCGTGATCGTAGTGTAGCCCCTCCCCCCTGCGCCACCCCCTGTAACTTGTTCTCCATGTTGTTGGTGTGAGGGAGGCACATGGCTCCTGGCGGACGGACCGCGCCTCCTCCTGCCGAGGAGAGAAGGATTTAAGGTGTCAGAGAAAACTGATGTGGATTTGTGTCACAGTTAAGCACTCTTTAGATGAAGTATGCTCTTACGATGGCCGATTCGTTTGAAAATACCCGTCGCCAACACATTTGATTTCCAGTGGTGCTTTACCCTTTCATTAGTTTCCTTTATTGATAGAGATTCTATTCTAGTCTATACAATGTCAGAAAATAGTGAAATCTTTCATTTAACATGAGAATACTGAAAACGTAACCAACAATGTATTCTATGTCCTCTGAGTATCACACTACATATCAGGGCAGTCCTGGTCTCACCTTGGGCATTGGCTCTGGTGTGCAGTGATGGGGAGGGGGGGGCGCAGGGCACCACGGGCTGCTGGGAGCGCACGCCGGCCCCTGGGGGAGGCGGCGCCAGACCGAAAAACCACCTCGCAAAGCCTCCAATCAGAGTACTCTAATCCACCGCCGGCAGCACGGGCACCCAGTCAGGATGGTGGGAAGCGGGGCAACGACTTTGGGGAGGGAAGCAGGGGGAATCAGGGTGTCAGGAGGGCAGGGTCACCACTTCCTGTAGAGAGAGGAAATACAAAATACCAGTTGAGTTTATATTATGTATATTTGTGAATCTGCTGCAACTAAAACTAAACTAAAGATCATTACAAACAGTCATCAGATCCATTGGTAATAGAACAAATATTAATGAGCGGTTATATTTTTGGGATAAATGTGTTTGACAGGTACAATAAAAAAAAAATACCCTGGCCCTACACACATCCTACAAATACAATTATGATTATAAAGTAATAAGTACAATTTAAATAAGTGTATAAGTATATACATACATACACATTCAATATTAAAAAAACTAAAATATATATTTATAATAATAAATACAAATGATTATTTCTTAAGATGGGTGAAGTTATCTCCGGGTTATTTTTCAAACAATGGGTTGAGTGTGATTTGAACTGGTGGAGCATGTTCAGAATAACAACAGCCTGACACAAACACATTTGAGGACAAACTCCCTGACACATGATGTTTCAAAACACAAACTCAGTTTTCTGGGCATGTTGCCACAAACAGTTGACATCAACTGTTTCAGCACGTCAGCATCGAGACACTGTCCCACAGAGGAAAATACGTGTGTCCGCACGCACACACAGATCATCTTCAAATGCAGACACACACACATTTGTATTCTGTAGTTAAATTAGGAGGACATGCAGCAGCACTGTCTGTCAGGGTCAGAAAAGATGTCGTAACTCATTTGGTTTATAAATCCAATCCTAATCATGTGTCAATCAATTCAAGTATGGGTAAATAAAAAAACCTACTATATCATTAGGAATACTTCCTGAAACACACTTCACTCCCCGACACATGTTGAAAGATGCAGTTCATGGTTTTGTTTAACAACCGCATGTCAACCCAGCTCTCTGTTGATTTAAAACTCAAATAATTAAATATTAATACTAAATCATTGTCAATAACCTAAAAGGATTATTTGATATTCAGGATTTACTGAATACAACGAGCAGCAGAATGAAATCAAAGCCCGTGTGTTGCTGAGTATCATCCAAAACAAAAACCACAATAAATGATGAGCATTTGAAACCATGACACAGGATACGTAAACAATGCGAGTACAAAACCATTTTGGTTTTATTATGACATCAAACATCTAAAGACGCGCCACAAATATAATAGAGCTGGTTTCCAAATGTGAATTCATTCAAGAAGGAGACGACATTTTGAATTGATGTTCCAGGTAGTGGAGAATAGAGGATCGAGTTCAGCTCTCACATACATGTTCAGGTGTCCAAATATCTGGGCCATATTTTCAAGATTTTCCCTCCTCTCCTCCCTGCATGCCTTTTCTCAAATCCCCCTCTACCTCCTCCTATCCAATCCCCATATATCCCATGATGCACCTCAAAGCTCCGCCAATATGAGTCATCCTCGCCTGCCTGAAGACATGAGAAGAAAGGAAGAGGAGGACATAAGAGAACAAACAGGCTATCATCATCATTGTGTGTGTTTTTGAAGGGCATCATCTGGTTAGTGTCAAGGCCACGGCAAGGCACGACGCTCATTGACAATATCCCGATGAGGGCTCAACATAAAGGAGTAACACCAAACACAGTCTCCATATGCAACAGTTCAGGCACGGCAAAACATTATTATTATTTTTTAAATAACTCTTCTTTAGCAAGACGGACACCACGTACCTTTTTTAATAACATTCCAAATGTAACGTTAGAAGTTTCTCCACAAATGTATGTGTTCCGTTAAAGGGCCCCTATTATGCTTTTAGGGTTTTCCCTTTCTTGTAGTGTGTTATATCTGTGTGCATGTAAATGGTCTGCTGAGACTAAAATCCCTGTGTTTCTGTCCCACACTCTGTTTCCCCAACGCAATGTTTCAATTATCAAGCCTAGCCAATCAATGCTGACTTGAGACTAACTTCAACTCAATGCAGTCTCCACTTGATTGTGTACGTCTCTACTTGTTTTCACAAATTGAAGGCTTCTCTGATTAATTACCAAGAAGCAAACGTACATTGATGAAGCAAACTCCTGCTGAGTTGAATCAGAAAGATCGCTATTTTCTTTTACTACACGACCTTTAAAACATCTCTTAGTTCTAGTTCTAGTTCATATGTGTCCTTTGCTTGTTTTTCCCTAAAGGTTAATAAGTCTATTATTAGATTTGTTCTAGCATAAGCAACGGCACATGTGATTTCAGGCAATTCATTCAATTGATTACTCTGCAACTCTGTATATAATCAGTTTGCCATTTTTATCTTCTTCCAGCTTCACAAATGTGCTGATTTGCGGTTTTTCATTGTATGTGTTTGTTTGACCATTGACAAAAACAATACATTTGAATCTGTCACTTTTGACACAAATTGTGATGGCACTTTCATATATATATATATATATATATATATATATATATATATATATATATATATATATATATATATATACACACACAAAAAAAGAATCCATTAGATGAATTGATAAAGAAAGTCCTTATTGGTGTCAGCCCTAGTGTGGACATGCAATTGCCAGAAACAATGAAAACTAGTGTATTATAGTGTACATTGAATGACTATAGTTCACAAGAAAGGGAATTGATTGACTTACAAAGACACACCCAAAACTAGACCATGGGTGTTTCTCAATGTCGAGTATGCTTGCTTGGTAGCACATGTCTTCCGAGTCACTTGCTTCAGAAGCGAGGCAAGAATACTTCCTGGCATTGGGAAAACGAAGAGTGGAACAGGCGAGCAAGTGTGCAGGTGTGCGTCATATGAGAGGCCCCGCCTTACATTTTCCGCCACAGATTTGGGGAAATTGGTCCGTGCGCAAAGCATTGTGGGGATTTTAAGACCGCGGAGTCTACACATGTGCAGCCTCGAAATTTCTCCAAACGAAGTACGCCGGGCTCGGTAGATTTCCAAGTATGCTGGACATTGGAACAGTCCTTCGGCGGCACTCGATGGCGTAATATGCTTGAAATAGTGGCTCTGGAGCAGCTTTACTCGACATTGAGAAACACCCCGTGTATCTAACTAAATAAATAAATAGGCAATTACACCTGCAAACCATTGGAGAGCTTTCATTGTCATTTTCATCACTGATACTTAGTAACTGATGGATTGTTTAATAGAAACCTTTGATTTAATGACATCTATGTGTGCTACAAGTGAGCTGTTGATGTGAGAAGCTGCAGGCCCCAGACTTCGCTGGCAACCTTGAAAACCTCAAACCACCATCATGTCTTCAAGGTAAGAAATGCTTTTCACCACCCTGTTCCTGTTACACAGACACACACTCGCACTGGGCCCACATCACAAGACTGCTCAAAGCACCCTGCACGCATCGAGCCACGATGGAAATGTCAACATCTAACTTCTGATCTCAAGTCACGATCCGAGCTTGACTGAGCACGAGCCTCAGATACACACACGGACACACATACAGACACTGTGAACAGTGTTTCCCATGAGGAATGCATTCTAAAGTTAGCAGCAAACAGAACATCAGGTCACATCTGTTCTGTTTTCTGGGATCAGTGGAATCACCCCGATGATCCATGACGTCTAACGTTCCGCCGCACTCGGCAACACACACAGAAGCATCTATCCAACACAAACATATATGAGCACACATGCATCAAAGATTTCTGAGGTCCAGCTGCATACTCACATATTCAGCATGTGCCAAGACATTATTAATTAATACACTTTAGATATTTCATGGCAGAAAAAAGTCCAAAGCAAAGAAGCATTAGTTCATCACTGAATTTCAATCACTGTTATTGTATATCAAATAATGCTGTAAACAGTAGGAGAATCCACAGTGGTTATTAAATCAAGATTATATATTGACTTGCAATAACTTTGACTCGCCAAAATGTTTTTTAATGCTGAAGAATGCATTAACACTTCATCTCTTACAATTGTGGTGTTAATGTGTGGAGATGATCCTGCTGAACATAGCGTGCAAGTATCATCAACTTGTGTTGTGCTTTTTCAAACGCCTTCATTGGACTCCTTTGTTTACTCCTGTAACAGCGTGACATCACTATGTAACACTCGTGTTTGTATTGGCTAGCGAAGTATATTTAGAGGGAGACCTTATGGTGCTCACTTCTGGTTTAGCCTACCAACATCTGTCATCACTGCACCACTCTATTAGCCAACAATAGATCAAACATTATACTTGATAAACATCATGTTAGCATGCTGCTCTTAGCATTTAGCTGAAAGCATCTCTGTGCTCCAGTACAGTAGAGCCTGTGAGCCTCGAGCGTGGCTGTTGTCTGAGATCAAAAGGTATCTGGTCACACAGAGGTAGGTATCGGGGTGTTAAGTGAACAGCTGGTGTGTGGTTACCCCTCTATACGGTGGTCTTGAATTCCTGGCACACAGACAACAGGTGTGTGTTTCCAGCAGGCAGAGTCCTGTATGCAGTGTGATGCAGAGGGCTGGGAATAGGCTGGTGGAGGGCAGAGTCAAGGACGACTTGCCTCCTAACTGATGTCTCCTAAACACACTCTCCTCCTCCCCATTTCCCTCATCCCTCTGCCCAAATCCGCTCAACTCCCTCTCTGGCTTTTTATCTCCTTATTTCTCTTTGGGCTGAATATCTCAGAAAATAATATTCAGTTTTATCTTATATTCTACTATTTGTTTTTGTATGTCAACAACACATGAAAACCATTACAAATGCAGGTTGTTTTGTAGCCTCAGCCTGTGTTATAGCTGTGGGCTGCTTTCATATCATGCTGTTTTGTGTGCTATGTCAAATGAATGTGTTTGGATTCAGTGTCAGATAGCTCAGTGATCCATGCAGTGTTGGCTGCCCGGTCACAAAGGTACCGTCGGAAAACAACAGCAATCTCCTGCACACTTTCCCCTTCTGCCACCTGCTGCCAGCCGACTTGCCAAATGACCTCACTTTAAAAATAATTTGAGTATAGCGGCCTCTCTCGCATCAAAGCTACTGTACGTCTGCCACCGTTAGTCTATCAGACCTGTCGTATGCCTGTAGGAGG